ACCCTTATACTCTAATAATTAAAAGAACAGGTGATGGACTTTGGTTGGGGACCACCATACTCCCTCCAATGAAACAGGGCAACTTGGGAGAAGAACGCCATTCTGAGATTCTGGGTAAGAATCACTTTTAATTTAAAGTTCCCCAACCCACTAAAACCATTTCACTTTCAGTTCCTGGCTTAGGGACCTTAAAAGTGCAAAGCCTCATACTCCCGGCATATTTCTGTCTAGGCAATGTAAAAATGTTGATTTTTCAACTAAGAGATATCGTAGGGTTAGGTAGAATCTGTGTGACAAAAAAATAATCTCTAGAAAAAAATTAAGTAAAGAAAAAATGATATTTTAACGGTATCCTATATACTTTTGTAGTCTATTTAAAGTAAATTACAATGTTGTGAGATCACAGTAAGCAATTATGAATACTATACATTGAAGATTTTTGCAAAGTTTGGGAGGGACAGTTCAAAATTCATTTCTACTTCTCATACCAAAGAAAATCATACTTTTTTTCACCTATCCTGCATATAGAGTTGAATTTTCTTTCTTTTACTAAGAAATGCAGTTACAGTTATTTTACTTATTAAAAAATCCTTAAATGAAATAAATATATGTAGGAAGATCAATTAGGGAATATTTTGCTAAAATCCATCAGCAGGTATGACCAACAGGAAGTGAAAAGGAAGCAAAGCACAAGTCAGTCCAACAGGACTTGTTTTGGAAAAGGCCTAGCAACAGAAGAGAGATTGTAAGCAGGAGTAAACTCTGACTCCTGATATCCTTACTAATCCCAATGTTCTTACCAGAAAACAACTCAGAAACACTAATACTCAACATGGAACTGCAAATCAGAAGGGAATGTGGCACCTTGTGAAACAAGGCAGAGATGGTACCATCTATGCGCTCTTCATTCTAGGCAGACAAGTTGTACTACTGGGAAAGCAACCTTTTTTCCTTAATAATTAACAAAAATTCACTGGAAGTGTTAAAAAAATGCATTAAGGTCATGAGAAAAAATAGATATCTGTAATCTTACCACCTATACATAAGTATTATTAAAATTTCGAGAGCGGCTTAAGCACTTGCCCGGCAAGTACAAGGTCCTGAGTTCAATTCCCAGTCCCAAAATAAGTTAATTAACTAAATAAAATAAAATTTAGGTTGCTCTTCATTAATAAATTAGTTTTCTGCATAGGTCAATTTTTTTCAAAACTAGGATATCTTGTTATAACTTGGTTTTCTGCATTCTAATATCAGAAATATTCTGCCATGTCATTGAAGTCTTTCCAATGTCTCCACACATCTTGACTTTCTTCCCATTTTTGTTGACATAATATGTATAAATATGGTAATTTAGTGCTATACTGAAATGCTTTGATTATTGGGAGGTTCACACATACGCTCCCAACCTTAGACAATTCATTTTATTTTCACTTATGAGTTGCACAATTATTTTTCATTGAAGAACATTTTTGTAGGGGTCTTTATATACGTCTTAGTCCATTACTTGCTAGCCAAATTATACCATAAACTAGTTGGCCTATAAAAAATCCTCATTCCTTACACTTCAAGAGGCTACATATAGAGTAGAATTTTCTTTTATTAACAAATGCAGTTATCTTGCTTATTCAAACACCTTAAATCAAAAAAATAGGAAGATGAAAGTGCACAAGTTTTCTGTCCTATTAGGGCTTGTTTTTTGGTACATGGCTGGCACTTTCTGACTATGTTCTCACAATAGTGAAAGGAGTAAGGCCTCCCTCTACTCCTCTTTTACAAGGGCACTAATTCCATTCTGGGGGGCTTCATCCACATGATTTTATCACCTTCTAAAGTCCCAACTTTTTAATACCATTACACTGGTGATAAGGAATAAATAAATAAATTTAGGAGTTGGGAACAGGGAGACACAAAACATTCCAATCATAGTAATAATATAAAATCATTGGTTTTAGTGATATATTCTAAAAGGGGCATACTAGAAAGTAAAAACATAGAGCATAGCATTTGTGTTTTCATTTTGTATAACGGTATTTCTTAGTGCGCTTTTCTAGTGTTATGGATTCAACCCAGGACTCCTGCATGCGAGGTAAGCATTTCATCACGGAGCTGCAGAGCCACAACCCATTCTTGGTGATATTTTTGAAGGCAGCATTTTTTTTTCTGACTATAAACATAGCAACTGTTAAAGAAGACTTGTAAATATCAGAAAAATTTTTAAAAAGAAAATCAAATCTATAACTGTACCACCTAGGAATATATGTATATGTGTGTTTATTTTGCTTTAGGATGTATTTATATGTAAACTCACTGATGCAGAAAACATTTACCTATAAACAGAAAAAGTATTGTTCAGTGTTTTACTTTAGAATAATGCTTGTTACATAAGGCTTTGTAGCTATTGAATAAATGATTCATATATATTTATTTTGAAATTATATTTTATACATTCAATATAATGTCTTATTAAATTTGCTCTTTTCACTCAGTAACTGCAGGCATATTTCCTAACAATAATTTTTTCAAAACTATGTTGATTTTGTTTGTATTTAGAGACAGGTAAAACATTAACTTTAGATATTTTGTTACTTGGTTGTTTGCAATTTCTTATTATAGGTAATATTATAATGAATACATTTGTAAGTCTTCAGAAGGAAATCACATAGTTTCATTAGGATATATCACTAGGTCTAGAGATATTGGTGCAATACTACACATTATAATATTGCGACTCATATAGTTGCATTAATATAACCTTCATTGTATACCTTGAATATAGATTCCACTAAGGCACAATTTTTCTACAAAGTTAGTGGCTGATCTATTTTAAAATATGAAATAGGGGCCAAGGAGATAGCTCAGTAGAATAAGTGCTTGCCTGGCAAGCACAGGGTCCTGCGTTCAATCCCCGGTACTGCAAAAAAATTAATAAAAATAAAATAAAATATGAAATAAATCCATTTTCTAAGGAAAGAATCATGTTTTCAATAATATGTAACTATCTGAAAAATGACAGTTGTTCAGCTACTGTAACTACTAACTAGATTTGGTAGGATCTAGTAATTTTATATTATTCATGCTAATAAATTCTGTTTTCCTTATATATTGAAAGTTAAATCTATCCTCAATTAGTTTTGCTTTGAGAGTCCCCAAATGGTCTTGCTTGTTGTATTTTCTCTGTTGTTTATTTTTAGACAGGGTCTCACTATATAGAGCAGGTTGGCCGTGTACTCACTATGTAGCCCATGCTGGCCTCAAACTCACAGCAATCTATCTGCCTCAGCCTCCTGAGTACTGGGATAGCAGGCATGTGCCACCATGCTTGGCCAGACTACAAGTATTTTCTAAAAAGAAAGAAGAAAGAAAGAAAGAAAGAAAGAAAGAAAGAAAGAAAGAAAGAAAGAAAGAAAGAAACCTTTGTTTTAAAAAACAAGACTTAAGTAAATCAAACAATAAATAAAACGTGAAATGAAAGCTTGAAAATGTGGATTTTAACTTTTAAAATTGATTCTAGAATGCAGATTTGTCTAACAAATGAGCCATTTCTGCTCAACTATTTATAATCAAATCCTGAGCATTTTCCTAACAATACCAAAATATATAACGTATTAATCAATTTTCAGTCACTGAAAATATTTACATTCCCCAAACCTATTTGAGATGGCTTAAATTGCTTAAATTCTCCATTTCTTTGTACACTTTCACAAATGTCAATAGTTATACTGTTGCTTTTAAACACCCTAATATTGGTTGAATGTTGCTAGCTTGTTTTTCACTACAGACAGATTTCACAAAACTAATTTCAGTGTAAGTAAAGTATATTTATAATTAAAATAAAAACACTGGAAGAAACACATTACCTTTTGGAGTGGACAAGAATGGGGTCTCACGCTTGAGCACTCAAGGAATTCTGTTCTACCTTTTATATTTTTGTTCTCAACAAGTAAGCAAAGCATTTTTTATGATGGTGGCCTGGCCCAATTTAAATGTGGATACAGTATCACGGTGGATAAGGAACCCCTAACCTTTTGGTCCAACTTTCAAGGTTGCTTAGTTAGGAACTTGCTGGAAGCGTGTAGCATCGCTTCCACTGTGTATAGAAACGCTTTTTATGAAAATAAGGAAGAGGAAACCTGGGTCTGGGGATGACAATCTAAATACCTGGGCCAGCATGTCTAGATGAATCAGAATAGTTTAAAGATACTATTTCTAAACGCATAAGGCCAATCATCAATAGGACTCTATACTGAGGAGGTCACCACTCGGCATGCATATATTTTACTTGCTGCACGTGGTAAAATACAACTACATGTTTCTTAATGTAAATGGAAGGGTGCGTCAAATAGCAACTAAGTTTCTCAGTTAGTGTTTGCTGGGAAGAATGCAGATTGTTTGGTTTGGTTAGATAGTGCTTCTTTCAAAGCTACTTCTGAGCACATTCCAGTACAAACGCTTTTCTCTTTCTGACGCACAAACTCGTGGTGTATATGCTGGGCTAAAGTGCCAACACTTTTCCACTTCATCATCTTTGCAGGGGCAAACAGACAAAACTGCTTTACACTGCTGGATTTCACAATCAAATGACAGAGGTGGGGGGGGGGGTGCGCGAGCGCGATCTGTGCTTAATTAATCTTTTCATGAAAACCAGTTCTCAGAGTAGATAAAACAATTTCCCTGTAGAAATTAAGTATGGGAAAATGGTGTAATCAGTTCTCCATTTTAAAGTGCAGTAGTAGCCCAGAACTGTACAGTTTTGAGTCATGTTTTTAAACTTAAAGAGGATTGGATGGGGAAGAGAGGAGGGAGGAGGAGGAGGAGGGAGAGAACGAGGGGGGAGAGGGGAAGAGAGAGAGACGGGGGTGGGGGAGAGAGAGAGAGAGAGAGAGAGAGAGAGAGAGAGACAGAGACAGAGACAGAGAGACAGAGACAGAGACAGAGAGACAGAGAGCGAGCGCCGGCCGCCAGCGAGGCAGAGGTCCGCAAAGGCTCGCCCTCACCCTTACCAGTCCCAGTCCAGGAACACATCACACCATGACGATTTCCAGTCCCAAGGTGCAAGAGAAGAACCAAGAACAAATCCAAAGATGATGGTGAGGGTGCGTTATATTTCCAAATCAGCAATCTCCCTTTGCGATAAAAAGAAAACCAAAAGCAAAAGGCACAAAAAAAATTTAAAAAAACCACAAAACACGAACACTTCTCAGACCGTTCCCAAACTCCGCGGGCGCGGGCGCAGGCGCCTGCCCCTGACCTAGTTCCCCTCCCGGCCGCAGGTCCGCGGCGCCCCGCCCACCGTGACGCAGGGGGCGGGGCCTGGCCGCGCTGCGCTCCAGCTGTGGACCTTCCAGGTGCCGCCCGCCCGGCAGCTGCCCTGGGCCCCGGGGTCCCACTTTTTGCTTTCCCCAAGCAGTACAGCTTGCCCCGTAGGGAGTCTCGCTGTTCTTGACTTTTTTTTTTTTTTTTTTTTTACATTTCTCTGGAGCAATTCATTCATTTTTACTAGATTTAAAACTCTGAGCAATCATCGGAAGGTGAAGAGATCAAATCTAAAAATGTAATGCTTTAATCTTATAGCTAGACAAGAAACAGAAAAAGAACACACCTATGATTTTGGTTTTTGTTTTGTTTTGTCTTATTTTTCTCACTCCTTGCCTTACTGTTCCTTTAACACAGAGCAGTGACTCCTATTTAAAAAAAAAAAAAAAGTCGAAATAAATTTCATCAATCTACCAGGTCTCTCCAAACTTCTGACCAGGGTAAGCTTTGGAAAGAAAAAGATTATTTGAAGAAGACAGAACTTTCAGGATAATTCAGAACAAAACTACAAATCATTGGATGCCAATTGTTGCATCCACAGAAACAAATACGGGATATAGGGGTGAAGCTCCGCAACCCTCGTATTCTACGTTCCTATTTTCCATTTTCTCAATGTAAAGCAAGGGTGAAGGAAACCACAGGATCCTGCAAATGTTTAATTGCAGTATTAGTGAAGCTCTCACTGGGACACAGAGAGGACTGGTTAGAAGGTATGAAAACTTGTCAGCCCCAGAGAAGCCAAACAAGTTTTTGCACCCTCTTAGAAGTTGCTTGTGCCAGAGGAAAAAGAACGAGGTTGGGTGTGGTTTCCTGGGATGCCTGATTGCAGGTAAGGACAAACCTCTAGAGCTTAGTCAACTCGGGGATAAACCCAGCCTTAACACTGCACATTGGCACTTACAGGTCTTCTGAAAACCCTGGCTGTGGTTCCACTTCTTGTAGGCGTGTGAGTGTTCCTTATACAGTAGAAGATGAGACAGATTTATGTCTCCTAGTAAGTCTTCTGAGGACACTTAAGCTTCTGATGGGCATCCCTGGGTTTCCTGAATCAGCACAGTTGCAAGTCTGGTGCAGGGCCATCCTGGGAGGATGCATACCAGGGCAATGCCCACCTGCGGCCTGCAGACATTGACTTCCTGCAGGGATTGCTTCCATCAGGGGTTCTGTCCAGCTCCAGGGCAGGCAGGTAAGGCCCTACCCAGGCCAATTAATCTCTAGGGCAAGGCTCTGGCAATTTCCCTCTGGTTTGTTTATTTGTTTGTTTGTTGTGAACTACATCATGATTCTAATCTACATCAAGGATTGAGTCACTGGGTAATGTTTAGATTGTTTTAGAGGAAAAAAACATATACAGATATATTTAATTTTTTAAATGCAGTAGTTGAATAATGGGAAACTAATGTAAATTACTGTTATGCATTATTTATGTTTGCTTCTTTGTTAATATAGAAAATATGTAGCAGGATACATATCAGAATTATTTGTTCAGAGGGCAAGGAGTAGATGAGGGAAGCAAGATTATTAGCTTTCTATGTCTGTATCACTTGAATTTAAACTTGAATTTAATCAACAATTTAAAATTTAAACTTACAAGTGCCATAATGGTCACTGGAAATAACTACTTTCAAAGTGGGTTTTCTTTTTCCACATGACCCTCTAATTCCAACTTTTCTTCTAAGTTATATATATATATTTTAATTTTTAAAAGTAAGTAGAATTTGAGGCTGGGGAAATGGCTCAGTGGAATAAGCGCTTCCCTGGCAACCACAAGGGCCTGAGTGCAATCCCTGATTCTGCAAAAAAAAAAGCATAGATTTTTTTTTTCTTTTTTTGGCAGTACTGGGGATCAAATCAGGACACTGTGCTTGCCAGGTAGACACTTTATGCTGCTGAGCTTCATCCCCAGCTCATTCTTAGAATTTTTTAAAAAATTATTCATTGGTAAAGGGTCTCACTGTGCAACTCAGAATTGTAGTCATCCTCCTGTCTCAGCCTCCCCAGCACTGGGATTACAGGTATGGGCCACCACACCAGGTTTCAGGGCCAGCATGCCCTGGCTTCCGGGGCAAGCCTGGAATGTGGTACCAAGGATTAAACTTACACTTGCCAGACTAGCACTTAGATCCCTGAGCTATCTCCCCAGCCCTAGAATTATTAATTTGATACATTAGGTACTTAAATCTAACATGAATTCAAATGGCGCTTTCTAAAGGTAAAACATGTTCACTTTTCTATTCTTTTTACTTTATGAAAAAATAATACAAATTTTTATAATTAAACAAAATAATTGTTATACTGTGTATCATTATCTTGAAAATAGTCCGTTAGAACAAAATGTAAACAAAAAGATTCTTATGGAAAAAAGATAATACAAAATTTCTTTTCAACAGATAAACTATTCCTATAAATGAAACAAATTAGTATATATGTTGCAATATTTGTTCAGAAATACATCCAATTTTATATGCTGCTCATAAGCTTTTTAAAAATTAATTTTCAAAGAATATGATATAGATGTAAGGACACTTTATCTTCCAGCTGGAAAATTATTTGAATCATCAATACTAATAGCTTCATAACTAATTCTCATGGGAAGTAAGTGCTTTGTTTTGATGTGGTTTTAATCTTAGTTTTGTAAATTTTTAGATATATGATCACTATACCCCATGGACACAGTAATAAAGTGTTATTAAGGCAGAAAGGTGAAGCACTAATCCCTGAGTAGAACATGGGACAGGCACTTTATAAAAGTAGTTATGGATTCTCTGCCTTGTATTTTTCTTCCCTCTTAAACATTCAAGGAGTAGTATGGCTGCAACAGATTAAAAATTATTAGAAGCTATCAGAACTATTATAAATATATTTATAAAGTGAAATATGCCATTTTCCCTATGACTGATGATACTTCTTATCTAGTTAAAGATAAAAATGAAATATTTGTATTCTTTTATCCCCCTGTTTTAATATCTGACATGTAAAGTTACATACAACATAGAGTTTCTTGTTTGCTTCCAAGAATTTATATGTAGCAGTGGTTATATGTAAAAGCTGATTTTTTTCATGGCTATAATCAACCACTACTTTTCCTCTGTACTTTTTTTTTTTTTTTAAACAGGGTTTCACCATATATTTCAAGCTAGTTTCAAACTCCCTATGTAGCCCAGGATGGCATTAAGCTTGCAATGGTCCTCCTGCCCCGCAGCTTACCAAGTGCTGAGATTACAGACATGCACTGCCCTGTCCAGCTTCTCCACACTTATCAGCAGGGTGTGACTCAAGCACAGATTGGGACATTTCCCATGGTCAGTTTACTCGCTAATTTTTGGAAAGAAACAAAGCAGAGTGATCCTTATCTCTGGCAGTTCAATCAGTCACTTGTAGATGAGGCCTGATATTAGCATGCTCATCTTATTCTTTCTCTTTCATATTTTTCCTAATATTCGCTGAGTGCTGGCGAACCGTTTCTATGGTAGGCAGGATTCTAAGCAGTTTCCATCTGCTTCATTTTCTGCTCAGCCCTATGAAGTCATTCCGCTTTCAAAGCTGAAAAATTCAAAGCACAAAAAGTTAGAGCGATGTAACCAAGAGGCAAGATTATGAAACCAAGCCAGATAGTATCCCTCTTCTTAGAAACTGCTTGAGCTGTTTTGCAGGTTTACGTGTATAACAATAGATCTTAACCCAAAGTGACTATGAAAGCCTGGCAGAAAAACTCCCACAGAGTGGAACCTGAGAAACGAAAGGATCTTGGGGCGCAGGGACCAGAATTCCCTCTCTGCAGTTTCCCCTGGACCAGCATGCTAATGTGAACCAGTTATAATCAGTCAGCCCTTTCTTTTTCCTGACCTCTGGCTACTATGATTCCTCTACTCCAGACAATCCAGGAGACAGATTGGAGCTCACCTCCTGTTTCCACATAGATTTTCCTTAATAAAATTTTATTTTTGCAAGTATCTGGTGACATCATGTTGGCTCTTGTTTGTCTGTCCATGAGCCATTGCTCACTATTAAGAGTAGAGGAAAGCACTGGCCAGAAAACACACTACCTCAGCCCTAGGGGTTCACTGTGCACTACGGAGCACAGCTTTCAATGAATTAGAAAAGAGAGCAGCAAATGAATTTTGTGAGAAGGTAAAACCATGCTATGAATACAACAGTCTTGTTCAGAGCAGAAATTCTATGTTTTTGCAAATAAAAAGAATGTGTACACCATTACTAGTTGTAACTTAGATTATAATTTCACAAATGTGCATTTTAAAGATAAGAAATTGCATTTCTTTTTCTTTATATCACCTGAGTCTCTTTCATTGATATCAGACCAGTTTAGATTTTAGCCTTGTGAAAATCATTGAAATACAGTGATTACACAGGACATCAAGAAGGGAATTTCCACTTTGGCAGAGAGCCCACTGGCTCAAGAGTTTCAGATAACCCTGTCAATTTTTTCTTAATCTTGTTAGCAATGTGAAGAAAAACACTGCCAAAGGACAATAACAGATTTCCTTATAGGGAGCAATGACCCTTTTATCTCAGGAAACATCACTCATCAGTCTCTTGCTTAAACAAAGATAATCCAGTCCAGGCATGGAAGCACATGCCTGTAATACCAGTTCTAGGGAGGCTCAAAACAGGAAGATCACAATGAGTCTAGGTTGCATAGTGAGATTCTGTACCAAATACATTAAAAATCAGTCAATCAATCTCAGAGCTTTGGTCTGACCAGGTATAGTTAGAACAAAGAAGTATGCATTTTACTAAGTGATGAATATTTCCATACTGGCCAGAGAAAGCAAGACTCTGGAAACGTAAGAGGGAGGAAGCTAGTTCAACTAGAGAAAAAG